CTGGTTTCTGACTCGTTTCTGACCCTTCAGCGGAACTCGTGTCAATTGGAATTAAAAGCAAGAGCAGAAATTCCTAGGTGTACTAGTGGTAGTGGTGGTGCAGTAGCAGCGGGTGTGGTGGTAGTACTAAGAGTAGTAGCAAATCTAGTCGTGGGAGTAAGGATCCATGCGTGAACGCATTCGATTTCAAATTTGGAAGCAAAATAAGCTTGCGCGGTCCGGAAACGGTCCGGAAAACTCACAGTAGTACCAGCAGGACTAGCAGTAGCAGTAGCACTAGCAGTAGTGGTAGTGGAAATTGCAATAGGAGTAGGCGTAGGAGTTCTGGTAGGAGGGTGAGGGAATAGGCAAGGGAGAGAGAGAGAGAGGTTGCGTTTGGCCGGTTTCTGGCTGGTTTCTGACTATTTCTGACCCTTCCGTGGAACTTCTGTCAAGTGGAGAAAAGCAAAGGCAAAAATTCCTCGGTGTAGTAGTGGTAGCGGCGTTGCAGTGGTAGCGGCGCTAGTGGTAATACTGAGAGTAGTAGCAACACTAGTAGAAGGATCCGCCCATGAACGCTTTCGTTTTCATATTTGAGAAGAAAAGAAAATTGCGCGGTCCGGAAACGGTCCGGAAACGGTCCGGAAAACTCACAGTAATACCAGTAGTAGGAGTAGGAGTAGGAGTAGGAGTAGAAGTAGGAGTAGGAGTAGAAGTAGGAGTAGGAGTAGGAGTAGGAGTAGGAGTAGTAGTAGCAGTAGTAGCAGTAGTAGCAGCAGTAGTAGTAGTAGTAGCAGGAGTAGTAGTAGTAGTAGTAGTAGTAGTATTAGTAGCAATGATAAGAGCTGAGGTGGATGGATGGATGGATGGATGGATGGATGGGATGCTAGGCAAGTGCTGCCTTTTTGGTGTTTCTGACCTGTTTCTGACCTGTTTTCAATTGGAGCTAGCTTGAATGTCCTTCTGACCTGAAAACATCTGCGCGGATTCCGCGCGCGCGGATTCCGCGCGGCCATGTCAATTATTGGCATGGTTCTGGTCTCGAAAGTAGTAGTAGTAGTAGTAGTAGTAGTAGTAGTAGTAGTAGTAGTAGTAGTAGTAGTAGTAGTCGTACTCGTACTCGTACTCGTACTACTAGTAGTAGTAGTAGTAATACTAGTAGTACTAGCAGTACTAGTAGTAAAAGTAGTACGAGTAGTAGTAGTAGTAGTAGTAATAGTAGTAGTAGTAGTACTAGTACTAGTACTAGTACTAGTACTAGTAGTAGTAGTACTAGTAGTAGTAGTACTAGTAGTAGTAGTACTAGTACTAGTAGTAGTAGTAGTAGTAGTAGTAGTAATAGGGTGTTTGCCGTATAACCAATCGCCAACCAATCGCTCAGCCTATCGCGATGCAGGTTTTAGCAATCGCGCAAAGCAAAGTAAACGCATCAATTCATAAATTTGTGACCTGCTTTTACGGACGGCTCCCATATGGTTAATGATGGCTAATAATAACCTGGTTGGTGGTGCAATAACCATCTAGAATTATCTCATATATTATGGAAAATAAAACATGTTCCAACCACCAACCAGTATATATTATGCTTTCCCATTCTATCCCATCAAATATTTAAATATATCAAATATGCCCACCTTGTTGGTGACCCCATCTGCACCAAGGCATCTGAACATTCGACTCGTAAACAACACCAGTGGCAAGGGAAGGCCAATGCAAAGTCCCTTATTTAAGTATATCTATACGGCAACTACATTTAAGTATAAGGATTTTAACATATACGAACTGGTATTTTAGATGTATATATAAAAATGTCGTTACCGTATATATATATATATATAGATTAGATGATTTTCCCTGATTTTCCCAGCTATAAGCCTAAAATAGTTAGGCTGGGGATTTCCCATGCCACGATTATCGGGGGTAGTTGGAGCAGTTGCTGAGGGACTCTCGAAATCTGTTGGTGTCTACACCGCGTAAACGCTGGTGAAATTCCAACTTTTAATGGGCTAAATCCACATTTTAATCTGCAAAAGCTATTGATTATATTCAAATGGGCTCAATCCCTATTTAAAATTGGATTACAATCCCTATTTATTCCCAGCAAATCCCTATTAAACTTGGTTCAATCACAGCATTTGCCGAGCCGCCAGCATCGGCATCACAAGGAGATGCAACCTATGAATCACCGGCTGCGAAAGGAAAGGCACGGACGGACACGGAGATAGTCGACATATGTGGATATTGTAAGCATAAGTAATAGTAAATATAGTAACTATTGGAAATAGTATATGGATATAGTGAATATATATATATATATTATATGTGGAAAACATATGTGGAATTTGTAAACAATAATGGATTAATATTCACAATAATCTAAACTCTATACGTTGGTTAATATTCACAATAATCTAATAATAGTAAATATGTGAATTAGATTAGTATTACTCTTTAGGCATATGTAACTATTGTAATTATTGGACATAGAAAGCATAGCAATAGTAAAAGGAGAAATAAAACTAATAGAAATAGTGGGGATGAACAATAAAGGTAACATTGACTTTAAGGTACCCTATTTCAAACTAACTGATCGATCATATGATTAGTTCTATATCCAACTACCACTTGTATATAATATACTATATAATATGAAATATCTCTGTATATATATACAAAATATCTATATAATATAATGTATTATATAAAAATAATAACATTAATAATAATAATAATAATATATAATACAATAATAATCATATACTCATTTTACATACCCAAAAAAAGGTACCTCCCATATCCATTACACTATTTATTGGTAACATCTCTATTTCTCATTCCACGGATCCGCTTCGTGGGTTAGTTCACCCCAGAAATTCAAAGTCTGGTTGGTGGTAAAACAATCCAAAACATATGAGTTAAAGTCAGTTGGGATTATGAAATTCCCAACTGAATGGAAAGTAAAATTCATGTTCCAAACCACCAGTTAAGTGGATGAACTCGACTTATCCCATGTGTAACTGGGGTGAACTAAGCTATTTAGGATCCGTGATGAGCCAGGCCTGCGGCGAACGGTCCGTGACGGCAACGTCTACGAGGCCGTCGAGTGGGGCAACCTGACATGGCAGGGGCTGATGGCATGGTGAAATTAGCGCTGTTTTGATGTTTACAGTTGGGAAGCAAAAAATAACCATATGTGGCTATATATGGTTAATATATGGTTAATATATGGTTAATATATGGTTAATAAATGGTTAATATAAACACCGTGTTTATGAAAACAATCCCTGTAGCCAAAAAAAATTGTTGTTTCAATTACACCCAAACGAAATCAAACAAAACCTTGGTGGAATACATTGAACCTATTCGTTTGGAAGCCTATTTTTTCGGTATCTGTGATCGGTGGATGACCCGGGGATGGGGATGAGGACTTGGGATCTATGTCATGACTTGAGGAATTGAACGGATCACCAAGGTTCAATGGCTTTGCCACCCTAGCCCTATAGTATACAGTATACAATCTAAAAGGAATGCTTGATATTCTAGGATTTTGAAAACCATGAAACACAAACCAAATGCATGAATACCTTGCTAAGCATGGGCTGCACTGAAAGCCCTTGTTTCCTCTAGATTTTCCTTTGAAACCCATGGTTCTCCACAAATTTCTGTGGATTGTCCCCCTGATATCCGAAAAATCTTTCGCCAAAGGTGCTAGCAACTCCGTCTCCTCAGCCAAGTGGTCGAAGCGACGAAGGGCCTCAACGCTTAGGATGGAGATTTATGGGTCGAAATAACCAACACAAAATGGGGAATTCATCGTCAACATGGGGAGTTGATCATCGTGTCAACTTTGCACAGTTGATTTATATGTCATTATAATGACTATTAGTTGATCATATCTATATGAATATGATTACAGTAATATATTATCATTAATATTATCAACTGCCTGTTTTAATATTGGTTGATCATATGTTAATATAATCAGTAATATGCACATCATGATTAGTCATATGTCGTATGCGATAGTCATCCTGAAGGTGGAATCCAGGATTGATGACGGCGATATGGTTAAAATAATTGCGATGATGGCTATACGGTAAATACTTGGTTAATATGGTTACCATTGGATATATATATATATTATATGGCTATATGGTTAATATATGTATATAAAGGCAATTTTTGGAAATTGTTTGGTGTAGCAATTGAGATTTCATGAAAGCAGGTAGTAATCCCATCTCATTCGTTCGAAGTTCTCCAATGCGAAAGCCAGCTTGAGATCTAATACTTTCCATCATTTTTGTAGGGTTTATATTGCCATTGCATAACTAATTGGTGGTTTCACCCCCCCTGAAAAATATTAGTCAGATTGGATCATCATCCCAACTATTGGGGAAAATAAAGCATGTTCCAAATCACCAACCAGACATAGTATTGCATACTCTTGGGTTGGGTTGATAAATTAATCCCTGCTGGCCCTGCTTCACCCGCTGATGCCAAGACACGCCCAGTGGCGCCACCCAAAGTTCGGCCCACTCTTCAGGCAGCGCCTCCGATCTCGGGGAAGAAGCAAGTTATGTCTGTGAACAAGTAACAAGGATACTGGCGCTATTAACCAACTATGGGGATGTCAGCAAACATGGGGATATCAAGAACCCGTGACTAATGGATAAACGTATTGTGATTTGTATATATGTATATATGTATATCTATATGTACTATATGTATTATATATATATACGGTAAGTACATTTAAATAAGGATTTTAACATGTACGAACAGGTATTTTAGACTACCTCCGGGAAGGTTTTCCTTGGCCCGCCCGGCCATTTCAACATACGGAATCCAATTCATTTCAACATACGGGAACTACATTTGAATATACGAACTGGTATTTTATACTACCTCTGGGGCCTCGCGGTCTGACCCTCCATATATTTAAATGTCGTTACCGTACATGTTACAAGTGGAAATCATGGGGATAGTCCTGGGATGTTCATGGCATCTCGGTGAAACAACATGACACGACCGCATAGCCTTGGGGATATTGACCAACAAGCAAGGCTATTAAAGAAGAACTATGGTAACTATGACCTGCAATAGTTCGGCTTTGGGGCTGCAAGAATGGGATGTGTCGGAATATTGAGCCCAACAATAGGAGTCCGAAAACAATTGAACAACATGTTCCCAAAACTTCATTGAAGCCACAACTAACATCTGATCCCATTCCCGCCATGCCCATTTTCCGGGCACCTCGCTTCTCAGTAAATCGTTGACTTCGGCCAAGCGCGGCAACGCTTGTGGCGGACGCCAAGTGAGCTGCCAACAGGGACCATCCCCTGCCGTTGAGGACCATCAAACATAGATCGCTCAAACATGTCGATCTCAACATCAAAAAACGAATTTCAGCACGAAAAAGTGGTGTTTGTGACGTGATTTCACTATGAAACATGGTGGATTGACCGGCCAAAATCAAGATGTCATTCGCCAAATTTCTTTATTAAGAGTTAAGAGTTGGGGTGTGATCGTCTTTTATCCGCCCGCAGGAAAGCTGATTCATTTTATCATACAATTTCACAACAGATTCACAAGTAACTATGGCATACTATGGCCATGTTGCCTGCAATATCACAGGAGCATATGCTGAGTCGCAGCCATGTTTGATACAGAATGCAGTGTCAAACGGACTTTTGCTGGAAATGGCATGCAGCGTCTTGCGGAAAGGCCATGACAATAGTCATTTATCACAGCTATGCAATCTTTTTTGGTTCGTGCATCTTACCTCAAAATCCGCCCACACCGCTTTGGCGGTGAAGGCGTGCTTATTGGGGGGCAACAGCAACAGTAAATGCTCAATGACATTTGTTAATATAGCAGTCGCTATATCAGCTTTAGCTGGGGGGGGGCCAAAAACGGTTTCGCACCGAGACCAGAATACGGTGGTGTTTTCGACATTTTTCGAGGATTTTTGGGTGTCTGAGCGCAAGAGGGTATTGAAATGGAATTTTGGGTCATTTTGGTAGCTTTCCGGCAATGGAAAAACGGCCAAAAATGAAAAAAACATTGTACATAGCAAGATTTTGCAGGGTTTTTGGATGCCAGAGCATTGAAAACACTGCAAAAACAAGTGTTTTGGACTGACGTTATAGCAAAAAACGTATAAATTACCGTATGCTTGACTGGAAACATTACAAAAACACTGTCAAAAGGAATGTTTTGGAAGGATTTACTGCCTTTATGGCAAAAAACGTGTAAATTACCGTCTGTTTGACTGGAAACATTGGAAAAACACTGTCAAAAACAATGTTTTGGAAGGATTTCTTATATATATGTTGGAGTTGGCTACCGGCATTGGCACATGAAAAATTGAAGAAAACACTGTAAATAGCGGTATTTTCAACGGTTGGGGAGATAAGGGAATTGGAAGCATTGTCGAACATGATGTTTTCGACCGGTTTTATGGCGACAAAAGTGTAAAGTACCGTGCTTTGAAGGAAACCATTGCAAAAACATGGAAACACATTCAAAGAACACGGGATTTGGGGACTATCTAGGCGTCGTTGTCTAGCTATTTGAAATTCCGCAGCTTGGAGAGCCTCCAAGGGAGGGAAAAGTGAAAATTCCATAGCTTGGGAAGCTGTCACGGCGGGGAAAAGTGAAAATTCCCTAGCTTGGGAAGCCCCCAAGGGGGGGAAAAGTGAAAATTCCCTAGCTTGGGGAGCCCCCACGGAGGGGAAAAAGTGAAAATTCCCTGCTTGGAAAGTGAAAATTCCCTAGCTTGGGGAGCCCCCACGGGGGGGGAAAGTGAAAATTCCCTAGCTTGGGGAGCCCCCACGGGGGGGAAAAGTGAAAATTCCCTAGCTTGGGAAGCCCCCAAGGGGGGGAAAAGTGAAAATTCCCTAGCTTGGGGAGCCCCCACGGAGGGGAAAAAGTGAAAATTCCCTGCTTGGAAAGTGAAAATTCCCTAGCTTGGGGAGCCCCCAAGGGGGGGGAAAGTGAAAATTCCCTAGCTTGGGGAGCCCCCACGGGGGGGAAAAGTGAAAATTCCCTAGCTTGGGGAGCCCCCACGGGGGGGGAAAGTGAAAATTCTTAGCTTGGGGAGCCCCCACGGGGGAAAACCACCCTTAGCCCCTCTCACGGACCGAAATAAACCTGTGGTGTGGGCGGCCACCCCACGCGAAGCGGGGTGAATACTAATTGCATCTTACCTCAAAATACTAATTGCCAACACTATTTGACAGGTTGTGAATGACACTTTAAGGTTCTACAAGATTTCAGACACACTTTAAGGCTTTAAGGTTCTGCCCCCCCCGTCAGGTGATCTCCACCTGTCAGGAAGTCGTGGTGAGGCGGCATCGCTCCTTGCACATAGCCTTGGTCGTGCACCGATCTGATCCATCCAGTGCTTGGTTCACCAAGACATGGATATACTGGATGGTTTATGGTAATCATACAATGAGAAACATAATACATAATCCCTCCCCCCGAAAAAATGAAACACCCCGAACAAATTGCATGGTCCCAATGGAGTGTGGAAAGTCCCTACATCCACCATGGTTTCGTTGAACAGGGCTGTGAATATTTATTGGGATGGGGTTCATGGTATAGATAATTTCATTCCCCCATGGACGGGAGGAAATTTGATCCATCGGCCATGAAAAATGGATGGGATAATGCTGGGAAAACATGGGATGTTTTTTTAAGAATGGGAATATGACGGGAATATAATATCACTAGATACAGTGCTACGAAGCCCGTGGTAATTGAACAGTTTGCCATTGAACATGGACCATTTGTAGATGACTTACCTATTCAAAATGGTGATGTTCCATGGCTATGTTAAAGTACCAGAGGGTAACGGAGAGTACCCAAAACTTGTCATTTCCCCAATCCTGAGCTTCACCAACAATGAACAAACACATTTTTCAAATTTGTATGAATTACTGGTTGGTGGTTTCAACCCCCCTGAAAAATATGAAAGTCAAATGGGATGATGACATTCCCAATATATGGAAAAATAAAACATGTTCCGAACCACCAACCAGATTATATCCTCAGACTTGGTGGTTAGTTGCCCATTGCCGTTGAATCACCATTTTTGACTGATGTTCAATGTTCAAGTCAGCATCACCAGATCTTGAATCACCAGCTGCTGCTGATTTTTTCTTATCCCGGAGTGATGGCCAAATTTCGATTGCCAATTCAAAGATATAGTCCCAAATTTGGTAAATTTGGTTTCAGTTTCCCATCCATAACCAATAGATCATTGATCCCTGATTTTAATTGATTATCCCAGCTTATCCCTGATTTTGGATGATCATTTCACAGCTATATTCCCATTGATCCCATCCAATTGATCCAGCTTATCCCTGATTTTCTCAAGCCCGTAACCCAAAACACCCCCATGGATGGGGTTACCCCATGGTTGATGGTGAAATGCCCAACCGATACTCACGTCTCCATCTGGAAGAATCCACCATGATTTCTGCGATGTTTCCGTTCAATATCACCATAAACCCATCATGAAATCACTGTTTATTGATACTTAAATCATGATTTTGGTTGATTAAACCATCATGAACCCCCTATGGAAATCCCTGTTTGTTGATAGTTAAATATTAACTCCCTAATGGAAATCCCTGTTTGTTGATAGTTAAACCACCCTTTTTTAATGAATCTCCTAAGCCACCAGAAAAAAAAACCTATTTCAATGGTCAAATTCCGCCGGTCCAGCGGCGACAGAACTCCCAGAGCCGCGCTCGGCGCTGCTTGGGACCATCGAAGGGACGGTAGGGGCCGAAGGGCGACAGCAGCACCTGAGCGTTGATCAAAAGTTCATATTGGGGGATTGGGAAACTAATTGATTAACAATATTTAACAACAGTATTTAACAATAGTAATATTAATATATGGTAAATGGATGAGCAATATTTAACAATATTTAACTATTACTAATTGATGAGAAACATTTAGCAATAGTAATATTAATATGGTAAAATGGTGAATAACAACAATTGGAGTAATGATTAACAATAGTAATTGATGAATAATGATTAGTATGAAATGTTAGCAATAGTTGATGAACAATTAACATTAGTATTATTAATGATTAATATATTAATGTTAATATTAACAATAAACAATATGATCAACAATATTTAACAATAGTAATAGCACTAGTCAGGGATCGGGACAATATTAATATGGTAAAATGGTGAATAACAACAATTGGAGTAATGATTAACAATAGTAGTTGATGAATAATGTGATTAATTGGAAACAATTGTTGGAGTAATTGATGGATTGGGAAACTAACTGATGAATATTAACGAAGGTAATATGGAAATATAACTTAAAATAACACAATATTACAAATAATTCTCGCAATATTATGCCAATAGTAACAATTGAATATTATAGTATTAGGATGTATTAGGATGTATCAGCATAAAAAAAATATAGAGGGATAATTGGATAATCATTAGGATAATAATTGGGATAAATATACTGGATGTTTACAGCAACCCCTAATCTTCAGGGAATGGGGGAATGGGATGATTGTTAATAGTAATTATGATTATGGATCATTCCCCTATTCACTAAGCACCAGCACGTACTACTGAAATAGTGGTAAATGACTTTTCTATAAATTTGAGGGTTGCTATAGATCATTTTAGGTCGACCATGCCAATTTTCATCAGAAAATATGTGTCAAACTTGTGATATGGACATATGGACACCGTAAGAACTTATATTTGGATCTTAAATGATAAACATCCAAGGGTTAAATGATATATATATATAATATCAAAATTATAATATATATAATAATGTATATATATATAATAATAATATATATATATAAAGGATCAAATAAAGGGATAACTACAGGACGGTGCTGGCCACATCTTTTAGTGAATTGTGATGATGTTTGTTGCCAATCCTGGCCGCATCCGGAGACATCCAACTTCTGAATGGGAAGTTCATCCAGAAATGGGGAAACGAAGAGTAAAAACATATTAACTGAAATTAATTATCCTTAATTTAGTTATTTCCAAACATATTTATTTATTGTTCATCTTTTGGAAATTGACTAAAACATCTTAAGGGTCTGCGGTGGAACGATGACAGTTCTTCACCCCACTAGCCATATTCATTGATATTTGAATATTAATATCTACCATCAACCATGGTGAACAGATTTTGTTTGTCTATGTTCAACCCATGAAAACAAGTTCAATACACCATTGAGCATAGGTGCTTAACCAATTGGTAGCTAAATAATCCATGGTTACCATAGTTACCATAGTTACTCAATATAAACCATAATTGCCGGAGTTATACACCATAGCTATTGGGAAATACACCATAAACAAAATAGTTACTGGAGTTACCCTCTGGTAAGCTAACATAGCTATAGGAAATCACCATTTTGAATAGGTAAATCAGCGATTTCTATGTGGTATTTTCAATAGCTATGTTAAATCACCAGAGGGTATTGGGTAATATAAACCAACATTAATGGTGAGAAAAACATATCCCATATATATATATACCCATTCTATACCCATTCTATACCCATTATATATCCATGTTAATATACCCATTATATATACCCATATACCATTATATATCCATAACACAATAGTTACTGGAGTTTTCCATAAACATCCATAAACCCAAAAAACTGGGTCATATTTTCATATATATATATATATATACATATATTATTTTTCATATACCAACACTATGTGACCGATGTGTTTTATTACCATGGTGTGTTTATGATGGTTACTGGGGTTTTTGGGTCATGTTTCTACCGATGTCTCGGCACCACATCGTCCCGCGAGGACAGCTGCTGGAAGGTCCAAGGAGTCCACGCCGTGACCAGAGCGTTCTGGCGACAAACTTCCACGAAAAACATGGAAAAAAAGGTGATTTCCCCGAAGAATGGTGATTTTTATAGCGAAAATGAGATGTTTTCAGTGAACATGGTGATTTTACATGCATTTACTCCTGAAAATGGTGATTTTATATGAATGAACTAGTGAACATGGTGATTCTCACCAAGTTAGAAATGGTGATCTCAGTTAGGTGCAAATGATAGTTTGACCTCGGAAAAAAATGATTTTTCACTTACAAAGATTGGGATTTAACCTATGAAGATAAGGATTTGGCCAACAAGAATGTGGTTTTACGCAATAAAAAAATAATGAATCAAGTAAAAAAATGAGGAATTTAATGAATCAATGGAATTGCTTAAGGGAAAAGTTGAAATGTCTAGCCATTTACTGATTGGCTGCATATCCCATGTTATTCCATTCTTGTCCCATGATTGTTCCACTATATACCCATTTTTCATCACCTAAATCCCATTGTTGATGGCTATCTTCCGCAACATTCATTATATCCATATACATTGATATATATATATATGTATGTGGATATATATATATATATATCCTTTGTAATATCCATTGTAATTTCACCAGCACAAAAAAACATGGAATCATCCTGAATATACGGGTGAATCTAACCATCTAAATCCCATCTTTTTTTTTTCAACGGAGAAAAGGATCCATCCGCCACTCCTCAAGCACCAGCGGCAGCTCATCGCTTGCGGATCTGGAAATCTGCCGGCCGGGCCATCCTGGGGGAGCGAGGCACGAAAATCATCGAATCCAACGAAGCTCCCCCCCCAAAAAAACGAATCATCCACCGGATGTATGGTAAAATCATGATCAATTTTTGGAGAATTGATGATTAACTGATGATGAGTTTACTTTGTTCAATTAGTGGCTGAAGTTGCTAAAACGAAACGTTGAGTGGGGCTTAGAGAACAATAACAACAATCATCAATGCATCTAATGCTTGTATGAACTATATTAACTAACGCTCCGAATCCATTAGAATTTACAACCTTCACCAAGAAAATGGGGGAATGAGCGACCTGGATTTGCATATTTATGCGGCCTTTTTGAGTGGTCCCGCATATCATCCTGAATGACCTCTGGACCTGAGTCTTTGCATGCTCACTTCGAATCCCCTTGCAGCAAGAAAGTAGGACTGAACCTGGCTGGTCTACTCTGAAATCCAGAAACATCGAGATCTGAACACTCGGAACAAAACCTCAACAGAAATTGAATCCTATGACCACAATTTTTCACCTCACAGCATCCCCAAATGGCCCGTGCTGTCCGCCGTGCTGTCCGACGTCTGTCCTGTGCCACCTGTCCCACCCTCTGTTGTTTCAAGATGTTTCCGCGAGGCGTTCCAGAAGGCACGGGCCTGGTGATGGGAGAGTTTTTCCCAAACAGAGAGGGAAACAAATGGGACGAATGCTGACGTAACCAAGACAAATATTTTTGATTATATGGTTTGTAAGTAGGCTAACGATTGGATTTGGGATATATCGTGATACTTCATGATATATAATAGTTGGATGTGGTTATAAGCCAACTTATTAGTTTTGGCTTTTCCAGTAGGTATGTGGAGATTCAACCAGGAATATGTAAGCCTATTCTGGGGTGCAACAATTCCCATTAAGCTAGGTAAAAACTAACCTCTACAATAACCAACCAGCAAGGGTAGTTTTTTCATGGTTCATGTGAGGATCGCTCCGGATGTAGATATATCAGTTTCAATCCATCTTATCACCCAGAAGGGGAATTATGAAGGACAAAATGAGAGAACCCGAATTGTATCAGAAAAGTATTTACCACGAGTTCCTGTAATCTTGCCGGGAAACCCATGTTTGTATGGACAGTAGAAACGTAGAAATCATCAAAACCACGTGGGTGATGTCGGATCGTCTGAATTTTGCTACCAATATCTATGCCAGAGCGCATAAGTATCATTCGACCTCTACAGGAATGTGACCCCTTCCCCTTCCGACGTAGACATGTAGGATGCATACCCTCTGGCAAACGTTTACATAACTATGGGAAATCACCATTTTTGATGGGCAAATCAACTATTTCGACTGGGCCATTTTCAATAGCGAACTGTATCAATTTGCCAGAGTGTAACTATTAACCATTAAACATAGATTATCCATATATTAACCAGTAACCATTACCAACCATAGATTACCCATATATTAACTGTTAGTTTACCAGTGGGTACACTTCCTCCGCCGCGGATTCGAATCTCCACTAGAAACCATAGATTTCACCGAGATATTTCCAGCAACTTAGCGAGCTCGATCTCGGGGGGCCCAGGTACTTGAAGGTGCTGGGCCCCACATGGTATTACTGTAGTATACCCCAGTCATATATCCCCAGTTAGATGAATGGGTTATAAACTGTTTATCACTTTCTATCTCTAATTTAGAATGGGGCTTTCTTAAAATAGGGGACCCCCAAATTACCATGAATGCGGTTCAATACTTCTACACTCCAATTTTGGATGATTTGGGGTACTCCCATTTTAAGAACCCCCTCATATAAATCCACCAGTTATTGTCGCTTTTTCAAAACATGGCCTCATTTAGCGCAGCATAGTTCGAGGGTGGCTCGGTAGACACTGCCGTGCAGCCCCTGACAGGTTGGCTGGATATCAAGATATCATCCCCAGGGTTAAGGCAGAATCTTGAACACCAACAACCACGAATTCTTGGCTTTATCAAGCGTCTGTAAAGTTGATTCAGTTGGCTGAAAAACCGTATTCTCGAAAATTCGCTATATCTACCATAAAACCTTGAAGTGATGGACATCTTCCATGATATTCCAGTTCTCCCAATCTCCCACAAACGTGGAAGAGTCAGAAATACTCTTCCCAATCTCGCCTTTCCTATGAGCATTGGGCTAATCAGCTAGTCATACTGTGGATGGAACAAATCCTGCATCACCTTGGATGGTTGAAACCCTAAATAAATAATGGGATGTTTACCACCTATTAACTGGTGCAGGATTTCTTCCATCCACCGTAGATAGCATGTATTTGTATGACGCAAAATTAACGCATCAACATACCCAACCTACTGGTTTTCACAGATCTGGAATGGTCAGACATCTATTATTTACGCTCCGATTTTGTCCAGTGGGGAAGCAAACGAGCCAGCCACATTCAAGCTGCTCCCAAGCATTCCAATTTTATGGATCATTGGCTAGTTCCCATGGGGATGGGATGTACCCAGCAAACAATGGGGATGTGTAAAAATAAAGGGTTAATCTGTGGTTAATATATGGATAATCTATGGTTAATGGTTAATAGTTACCCTCTGGTAATTTGTTACAGTTCGCTATTGAAAATGGCCCAGTCGAAATAGTTGATTTACCCATCAAAAATGGTGATTGTCCACTTCGCAAGCTATTAAATTGCCAGAGGGTATCATGAACCACCTTGGCCAAGGTCGACTTCACCCAGATCTTGTAAATAATCGGATGGATATCCGAATCTATCTGGGTAAATTATTATATTTCACTAAGCTGAATAGTTCGGCCATTTGGGGATGATTTCCCTATATTTAAACCATGATTCCTGTGAGGTCGCAGTGAAGTCGTGATGAAATTTCCCCAGATCTACAGTACATGGTTCACATCTGTGACTCGGTGGTTCATATTAGTCCACCTATATCAGTCCACCTATAAGCAAACATGTATATATATATAAATATATATATATGTATGTGTATATCTATATATAAATATATATACACATCATAGTTGATAAGTAAACCTTCAGAAATTTCATGTTAGAAATAACAATTGTAGCGGATCAGGTCGTTCAACATTCACGCGGATCTACGGTGAATTAGATGGGGGCCACCAGTTGCTGGTGAATCCCAATTTTTCCCTGTGCTATACCGCCTAAACTGCCTAAAACTCCATAGGAAAACGGGGTGGGTTTTTGTGAGGTTACTATCCTCTAATTATGATTTTAATATTAGGGGAGATAGTTTCTACATGTTTCTAATAATTCTAATATCACCGAATTCCTATGCACCGTTTACTGCGGTCGGCCAGTGAGGTCGAAATCAGCGAAAACTGTGCGCGACGCTTGAGCCATCGACCCATCTGCGAACCCTCAGGGCTTTTGATGCACTGTCAACGTCCCGGCCGAACAGAGAAAATTGCCCTGCCTTCCCATTGAACGGAGCCCCAAGAACAACCGCTCGGCAAGTGGCAATATCGCGATTCATGCAACTGCTACTGCGCGATGGCGCTTTTTTCTCGGCTGCCCAGTCATATCAACACAGCAATCCCAGCTGGAAAAATGACCACAATGGGGGCACAAAGAAACCACCAGCCACGGGTCCCAAAGGTGTGATGAACAGATGAATCAGGTCGTCATATCATCCCTCATCCCAAGTTTGAGTTGGTTGTCTATGGTTGTTTTCACAAAACATGGTGAGTGCCTAAGCCTATTGAAAAACAGGTGAAACGTAATGTTTCCACTGGTGGATAGGTATGAAAAGCCTACGCCTTTGCTGGCTAAGACTCCCATCAAATCCCATTAAGCCACACTTTTTCCACGGTGAATCCTTGATTTTGGAAGGTGGTTTGATGGCTGTTGATGGTTGTTGAATCCCATGATTTTCATCCCGGAAATTGTGGCCAATACACACACACACATATATATATATAGATAAACCATAATATATGTTTTTATTATGATATAAATATATACATATATATAATATGTATATTAATATATGAGTTATGATATTCGCATTGCTGCGAACTATATGCCCACTTTTTCATGGTGAACAGGTGCAGTGAAATCCTCACGTTGGATGGCGATGGTAAATTAATACTATATATTAATTATATTAGGGGAATATCAATACCCTGATACTAATCATAATATTAATATGAATTAATCCTGGCTATATTAATATGAATTACAGCATATCTGGTTATTAAATAATATTAACCAGGACATCTAATACTCACAAATCCTGAAGTATCACTATTCGGCGATTACAGCATATCTCGCCAAAAAACTGTGGTATTTTGCTTCTACAACCATACCCCGAAATTCTTCACAGCCTATGGGTTTATTTATCCGGGGTTGACTCTCTTGAATTGCTATTGATTGTTATTCAATACTTAATAACCATCAGTGTCAAGCCTCATTGAGACCCAGTATCATGTATTCATTGTTATGAGGATTTATGGTTATTGATGGTTCTTATATCAACTGATGGTTCTTCAACTGATGGTTATTAACATGTTAACCCATTGTCATTTATTAGTATAATTTACCCTCTGGTAAATGAACAGTTGGACCCTGAAAATCACCAATTTTGAGTGGTTTCACTCATCTTCCAACCCCTAGCCAGGGTCGTCATGTTCATTTACCAGAGAGCCACGTTAGTAATTTATCATAATTATATGATGATCATTGTCATTATGGTAAACCATCTATTACTATATATTATGGTAAATTAACAACTATTAACCATCACTATTGTTTAATTAACCACCAGCCAGTATATATATATATATAATCATTGGGTACACTAACATAACTATGGAAAATCACCATTTTTAATGGAAAATCAACTAACCAGATTACTATATATTATGGCAAATTAACTATATATAAATATATATATCTATATATATATATGTCTGGGTAAATTGTAATAATTCAATAACCTGAATTAAGGCCATTTGGGGATGATTTCCCTTACTAACCATGATTCCAGTGAGGTCACAGTGAGGTCGTTATAATTTACCCATATATATATATATATATATAATATATATATATATAGATTAATTGATGGTTCAACTGCAGCTCTCCCCCGCCCTGGTGGTGCCTCCCCCAGCCCGCGGACAGCAGCGCTTCCGCGCGTTCTTTCTTGCTGGGACCGCCGCGGCGACGGTGGTCGTCCACCTGGGCCGTTAAGACATGGGGATGTACCCAGCAAACAATGGGATCTGTAAATATAAATTTTTAATCTATGGTTAACCTAATGGTTTGTAGGTATAATTAAAGGACCGGATAACCCCACAAGGCAACTTCTTCCAATAATGAGCGCTAAAGGTTGTAGCAGGGACGGAGAAGGAAGGAAAGGCAAAGGAGGTGGTGAAGGATCGAAAAGTTAAAACAGTTGTGTGTGACAAAGTCGAATGTGAAAGATGGTGTGTGACGAAGGAAGATGGTGTGTAGGTGTGTGACAAAGCAGTTTGTGAAATATGGTGTGTGTGAAAGTTGTGTGTGAAAGAGAGCGTGTGACAAAGTTGTGTGTGAAAGATGGTGTGTGACAAAGTGGTGTGTGAAAGATGGTGTGGCGAAAGATGATGTGTGACAAAGTTGTGTGCGAAAGATGGTGTGGTGAAAGATGGTGTGTGACAAAGTTATGTGTGAAAGATGGTGTGGTGAAAAATGGTGTGTGTGACAAAGTGGTGTGTGAAGGATGGTGTGGTGAAAGATGGTGTGTGAAAGATGGAGTGTTACAAAGATGGTGCGTAAAAGACGGTGTGTCAAAGATGGTGTGTGACCAAGTGGTGTGTGAAAGATGGTGTGTCAAAGTTGTGTGTGAAAAATAGTGTGGTGACAAAGTGGTGTGTGGAAGAGGGTGTGGTGAAAGATGGTGTGTGACAAAGTGGTGTGTGAAAGATGGTGTGTGACAAAGTGGTGTATGAAAGAGGGTGTGTCAAAGATGGTGCCACGCCTGCCACGCAAAACGACGGTGGATGCGAGTTTGTGCCACGCCTGCCACGTGAAATGAAGGTGGATGTCACCAAGTGCCACGCCTGCCACGCAAAGTGCCGCGGCGTCACAGGCGACAAATCCGGACCAAGCGCGCCACCCAGTACCATGAGTGCCACGCCTGCCACGCAAAACGACGGTGGATGCGAGTTTTTGTGGCCACGCCTGCCATGTGAAACGAGGGTGGATGTCACCAAGTGCCACGCCTGCCACGCAAAGTGCCGCGGCGTCACAGGCGACAAATCCGGACCAAGCGGGCCACCCAGTACCATAAGTGCCACGCCTGCCACGCAAAACGACGGTGGATGCAAGTTTGTGCCACGCCTGCCACGTGAAACGAGGGTGGATGTCACCAAGTGCCACGCCTGCCACGCAAAGTGCCGCGGCGTCACAGGCGACAAATCCGGACCAAGCGCGCCACCCAGGAGTGCCACGCCTGCCACGCAAAACGACGGTGGATGCGAGTTTTGTGCCACGCCTGCCACGTGAAACGAAGGCGGATGTCACCAAGTGCCACGCCTGCCACGCAAAGTGCCGCGGCGTCACAGGCGACAAATCCGGACCAAGCGCGCCACCCAGTACCATGAGTGCCACGCCTGCCACTCAAAACGACGGTGGATGCGAGTTTTGTGCCATGCCTGCCACGTGAAACGAGGGTGGATGTCACCAAGTGCCACGCCTGCCACGCAAAGTGCCGCGGCGTCACAGGCGACAAATCCGGACCAAGCGCGCCACCCAGTACCATGAGTGCCACGCCTGCCACGCAAAACGACGGTGGATGCGAGTTTTGTGCCACGCCTGCCACGTGAAATGAAGGTGGATGTCACCAAGTGCCACGCCTGCCCGCGGCGTCACAGGCAACAAATCCGGACCAAGCGCGCCACCCAGTACCATGAGTGCCACGCCTGCCACGCAAAACGACGCTGGATGCGAGTTTGTGCCAAAACGACGGTGGATGCGAGTTTTGTGCCACGCCTGCCACGTGAAACGAAGGTGGATGTCACCAAGTGCCACGCCTGCCACGCAAAGTGCCGCGGCGTCACAGGCGACAAATCCCGACCAAGCGCGCCACCCAGTACCATGAGTGCCACGCCTGCCACGCAAAACGACGGTGGATGCGAGTGTGTGCCACGCATGCCACGTGAAACGAAGGTGGATGTCACCAAGTGCCACGCCTGCCACGCAAAGTGCCGCGGCGTCACAGGCGACAAATCCGGACCAAGCGCGCCACCCAGTACCATGAGTGCCACGCCTGCCACGCAAAACGACGGTGGATGCGCGTTTTGTGCCACGCCTGCCACGTGAAACGAGGGTGGATGTCACCAAGTGCCACGCCTGCCACGCAAAGTGCCGCGGCGTCACAGGCGACAAATCCGGACCAAGCGCGCCACCCAGTACCATGAGTGCCACGCCTGCCACGCAAAACGACGGTGGATGCGAGTTTTGTGCCATGCCTGCCACGTGAAACGAAGGTGGATGTCACCAAGTGCCACGCCTGCCACGCAAAGTGCCGCGGCGTCACAGGTGACAAATCCGGACCAAGCGCGCCACCCAGTACCATGAGTGCAATGCCTGCCACGCAAAACGACGGTGGATGCGAGTTTGTGCCACGCCTGCCACGTGAAACGAAGGTGGACGTCACCAAGTGCCACGCCTGCCACGCAAAGTGCCGCGGCGTCAC